TTCTTTTGTGGGATCACTTGCGTGACATGGCTCAACAAATTGCTATACATTACAAGTCAAAATACCTTCTCTTCAACGATGATTAACGATACGAAGAAGTAAAAATATATTACTTAACTTAAAGGATCAACGTTTTGATCGACAGCACATCGATTCTCGTCAGGGTACAATGAAAGAAAATTATTTATGCGAATGCAAACGCGCTGAGAAAACATAAACATATATATATTCATTCTATAATGACGACTGTCAATGATGCTAACGTCGTTGCTGTCAGATTTATAAGAATTTTCTAGGAAATTGCCGCAAAGCTAGAGTGCTCAACATGGTTATTATGAATGTGTTTGTCAATTCGGAGAACTACGTGCGAATGTAAGATGTTCATGGGTTTGTTCAGATACACCTGAAGCAAATGGTATTTTGATGCGTGATTTAAAAATGAAAGGTGCAGCCGGGAAAACTTTTGAGTGTTTAAACATCGCGTTTATCAGTGATCGCTATGAGTGTTACAAATGAGTGCTTTTAATCTACTATTTGCACAAAATCACAATATTTCAGCAGGCATTTAAACTGCCTAATCTGCTCCTGGCAATATGTTTTCAAGAACATAATAAAACTGCATGCGAGACAGTGCTGCTACAACACACAGACGACATGTGGCTTGGTGGCGAGTTTAAACAGTTTTTTATACTTTTTAGGCCTAACACTTAGAAACCACGGTATTTAAGCATACCTACACTTTGCTCTGCCCACATTTCATTTTTATATCATCTCTCATCCTTCCATTTATAGCAGGTCTATCTGAACTACTCCATAAAATTTAATGATTAAAACCATAATTATTTGTGTGCAGTGATAAAAACACTATGCAGCTTGTTATACGGCAAGTTTCGTTGTTGTCCAAGCAAAGATGCCAAAGTTGTCGTGTATTAAGTTAATTGCGGTAACGGTAAGTGCACCTATGTTGCTCAAATACGCAGATTTTCGAAAATTAGAATGGACGAACACAACAGCTCCATCGCAAATCAACGTTCTGATCATTCTAGCCGCCCATCCATCATTAGAATATTGTCAAATATGATAAGCAGCGTAGCCGACACTATTGACGGCCTTTACGATAAAATGAAGTCAAGAATAAAGCAACGCTTGCATACCTCTGCTGGATAAAATAGGGTATGTAATAACTGTAAGAACGTGTGACATACCTATAACACATAGACTGATAAACTGATTGATGCCTCAATCAAATGGAGACCTGAGACAGAACTGCTTCAAGGCATTGAACATCGAACATTCTTGCTCGTGGGACTCTAGTCTTTGAGGTTGCATGAATAGCGGGAAGCCAGAGCTAATGAAAAACTATCTTAATCTCGCAACTCGCAATCTGAAGGATATATTGAGCTGTGTTAATACTCAACGTCAGACATTCAGTCAAATATCTTGTCTATCTAAAGTGGAGCATAAATTACAATGTTCAGATGAATAATACGATGGGCTGAATTAGCTCATGCTAATTGGTATACAATGGCCGAGAAAGAACAAACTCCTTATTAGCCATAAGAAATCCTAAATGGTGATATTTAACCCAAGCTATCAGACTTTAGACCACCGTTAAAATTCACATTTTCAAAATCATCCAATTCATCTGCCTGTTTTATTGTTTCTATGCATGTAGATTAAAAGAAAAGGAATTTATTTAATAACTGTTTTGGCCGATTTCTCTCAAATCAGTGCTGCTTAAGGCAATGGGTATCACATATAGAGACTAAGAAATTCACTTGATGGACACAGTTCAGGATTATTTTTGTTGCACGATGAAAATAAAATGACGAAGCCAAGTAGTGAATGGTAGTACTTTCGAAAAAGGTAATTATTGGAAGCTAAAATTTGAGATCCAGGTAAGAAGTTATTCGATAAATGGCTTAGGATCAACAATTTTTAAATTACTCAAAACTCTCTACGATGACTATGACACTCTTAACTTCATTTAGATAATAACTTCTAAATAAA